ATTATTGGACACAGCATGTTTTTAGACAATGGCAATAATTATTGGATTTTAGTGATGAATACTCACTTTTTAGTTTCATTTTTTAGGCTGCTGACTAAAGCCTTATATATTCTGTGTATGTTTATTTCTCTATTTTTAATTGAAATGTATTGATTGTAATATTTATGAGGTACAGAGTTATATTTCAGTGCATGTATACAATGTGTAGTGATCAAATTAGGGTAGTTAGCAAATTCATTATTGCAGAAATTTATTATTTCTTTGTGATGAGAACATTTGAGCTCCTCTCTTCTAGCCATTTGAGAACATGTAATAAATTATTGTTAATTATAGATGCCTAGCATTACTGTATACCACTAGAACTTATTTTTCCTATCTAGCTATAATTTTGTGTCCTTTAACCAACCTCTCACTATCTCGCCACCCCTCCCCTTCCCAGCCTCTAGTAACCACAATTCTACTCTCTAGTTCTAAAAGTTTAACGTGCCACCCCTCCCCTTCCCAGCCTCTAGTAACCACAATTCTACTCTCTAGTTCTAAAAGTTTAACTTTTTTTTGGCTCCCACATATAAGTGAGAACATGAGTTATTTACTTTATTGTGCTTGACTTATTTCACTTAACATTTCCAGGCTCATCCACAATAGCAGGATTTCATTTTTTTCATGGATGAGAAGTATTCCATTGTGTATATATACCACATTTTCTTCCTTCATTCACCTGTCAATGGATACCTGGTTTGATTCCATATCTTGGTTATTGTGAATAATGCTGCAAGAAACATAGGAGTGCAGATATCTCTTTGGTATGCTGATTTCTTTTCCTTTAGATAAATACCCAGCAGTGGGATTGCTGGATCATATGGTAGTTCTATTTGTAGTTTTTTGAGGAGCTTCCAGACTGCTTTCCATGAAAGCTGCACAAATTTACATCCCCACCAACAGTGTATAAGAGTTCCCCTTTCTCCTCATCCTCACCAACATTTGTTAGTTTTTCTCCTTTTGATAACAGCCATTCCAACTGGGGTGCAATGATATCTCATTGTTTTTTTGATTTGCATTTCCCTGATGGTTAGTGATGTTGAGCATTTTTTCAAGTACCCGTTGGCCATTTGTATGTCTTCTTTTGAGAAATGACTACTCAGGACATTTCTTTATAGAGCCTCAATGTAAAGAATATGCTCCCAAAGCATCTATGTATGGTTTTGAGATCTAAATTTCAAGTAGCTAAGAATCAATAAATAATGTCATGTTCTGATCTGAAAGAACAATCATTGTCGATATTATGTCAAGAACAGCAAAAACAACTATAATAGAAATCTAAATGGCAAAAGAGAAGACTACAAAGGAAGATCATTTATGAAATGAACATATTTTCATATTCAACCATGGCTTCCACAGAAGAAACATGATGGCATAACTAGGGCATTAGAATAAAATGATTTCAGTAACTGGAGAGAAATACTTACTTGTTTCACATTTTCAGCTAAGAAGACAATATAAACACTACAGAATCCCAACTGTGTTATCACCAGAAAAAAGTCAACCACACTCCTGAAAAGAGATATCCACAAATAAGTATAAAGAAGAGCTGCTTGAAATGACAATATATTTTATTTCTCTTTTTAACTGTTTTAAAACATTTTATAATAGCATATATTCTTTTTTGTTTCCTTAAATAAGAAACACTTAAAATATTTATTTTTCACAAAGATCACACATCTATGATAACTATATCACTACAATTATTATAGAACAAAAGGATGCTCCATTAAGTTAAAAGGCCACAATTTTTCCACCATTATCTATTTCTGAAATTCAACAGTTTAAGTGTATCTGCTTATAAAATTATTTTGTAAAAACATTTCATCTCGGGGCCGGCCCGGTGGCGCACTGCACTAGTGCGCCGCTTGGGAAGCGCGGCGGCGCTCCCGCCGAGGGTTCGGATCCCACATACAGACCGGTTCCCGCTCACTGGCTGAGCGAGGCGCGGGGGCAACACCGAGGGTTGCGATCCCGTTGCCGGTCCTGGTCCGGTACGGGCGCGACACTGAGGGTTGCGATCCGTTGCTGGACACGGAAAAAGACAAAAAAAAAAAAAACATTTCATCTCTTCAAGTAAGCCCAACACTCCTACTTCTCCAGATCTTTTTCAGATCAACCCAGTGTATTTCCTACCTCTCCCAGCTTCATGTCATTTGCAAATAGAATGAGCATGCTCTCTACTATCCAATCACTGATAAGAATATGGAATGGGAGAGGACTGGAAGCATAGCCCTTAGTCACACCACGAGACACCTTTCCAGTAGTTTTCTCTGTTCTTATTTTTTAGTGTGATACTCTAGTAAATTCCAGCTATATAAAATATAGCTGTACAGGAGTGAGGAAGATATGTCACCAGAGACATCGATCAAATTAGCATTATTTGGGTACAGCAGCAATCAAGTTCAAAATTTGCCTACATTTTATTAATATATAGCCCATACTTCTTCATTTGAGTTTGGGAACAATATGTGACTACTATAGCATGTGCTTACTAATTCATTACACTCTCTTGCATGACCATCAGTGTCAACCTGACAAACAAGATGGTCTAAAAAATCTATAGACCCTCCTTCTCCCATCTGAAGTTGGAAGGGCCCTTGCCTATCTTCCTTCTTGCCATATAACTCCACCATTCTCCATGGTTCTTCATGGATCTCATTTGTAGGTTATCTTTACCCTGAAATGAATTAAAGTCTCTTCTCTCTAATGAATTACATTTAAGTATTCCCTTAATTTCTCTTCATCCACCTTTCATTTTAATGTCCCACCAACAATCATCCCAGCCACTTCCATCTGAAAGCCATTCTTCTTCGTAGAAAAAGTAGACAAAGCTGCCTCTAGTCTGGGGCAGAAGAAAGAAGAAGGTGGGGTCTGGGATTCTGGGTTCTCAGGGCAAGTCTCTAGGGTGTTAATAAGTTCTGTTTCCTTCCTTCATCTACTCAGTATATCAGGAACTCTGAGCAGCTCATAAACAAATCTAACCTCCTGAAAATTCCAAGAAAGGCCATATTTAACCATAAACTACCAATACCGTTCTAATGCTAAAGGTTATTTACGTTTATTTCCCCAAGTTTATCATACTTTCATTTATGTACCTTGTCAGATTAAAATACTTAAAAATTAATATAATTTTGACAACCAGATATTAATAACATGACAGGTACTTACCGTCCCCATGCTGCTTGCTTCTGAAGACAACTCCAAGGACTTACTTCCATAGCAAAACTCACAGTGTCACTATAACCTAATGTTGACTTTTTAAACCTGTAATTTAAGGACAAACATACAAACGAAAAAAATTTTTAGGTCGGTGCATAAAGCCATTTCGTAAAAAGAATATCAACTAAATGGAAATTAATAAATGCAGGGCTGCACACTGATAGACGAGTTTTTGAAATTTCAAGCTCTACATAATCCTAAAGCATGCTTCACAAAATTTTAAAATTTTATATCTGTCCTTTTTACCAGTATATTAATTTTTATCTACTGCTAAAGATTACATATATCTAGAGTTATATAAATACCCTAATATTTGTTCTTCATGGATTTAAATATTTCAAATACCTAAAAACATCAATTTCATTTTTCATGTCAAAATTATTCCATTCTTAGAATAGCATTATTTAACAATACCTCTGCACAGAGCTCTACAATATATTTTTACATAAACTATCTCATTTAATCTTCAAAATTGCCCCATGAGGTAGGTACCGTTTCTCTATTCTCTCTCTCCTGCTTTCTTTTTTCAAGTATGCATTGTTATTTAATGATCATAAATTATTTACCCAAAGTTTTAAGAGCATTTAACAACAACAACAACAAAAAGTCAAGACTAGAATATTGGTCTACTAGAACAGGTGATATTAAAATTTTTAAAAAGTTGGTCTAATATCCAGTAAAAGCATTTCATGATACAAAAATAAATTTTAAACAATATTACTTTATTGACTACCTACTAACTAATACATCAGTAAAAAGCACCAAAAGTATTAATTATACCCAAAACTGAATTACTAATAAATTGAAGACCATTATGCTATAACTAAAAGTCATACCACTGCCTCCATTTCCTCTATATTTCTTTGCTGATTTTTTCTATATACACTAAGAAAAACCATTCTACTTTATATTAATTTCTATTTACCTTTTAAAGTAAATAGATCTGACCAGATTTAAGTCATATGAAATGCTACTCTTTTCTATATTCCTTATCTTAGACTTGTCTATTTAACCAGTTAAAGGAAATACAACTTCTACTTGCAAAGCACAGTAGAAATAAAAGACTCTATGATGCTCTAAATAAATACATAGCTTTAAAATAAATTAAATAGACTTAACAAATCCACATTTACCTCTGACACAGAAAGTGACTGCAACGTACCAATATGTGCATACAGTGAACAGAAATAATTCCTATAAACACAAGGCTGATCGGTCCAAGCTGTGGGGAAAAAAATGTATAAGGTTTAAATATTTAAGTTTTACAAAAATTGAGGAAACTTATAAACAATGAGTCAATGTGAGTATGCATTTGCAGTGAATAAGTATTTGTTGGACAAAATGATTAGTCATTTGCGTGAGAGAAAATAAACAAACTTGGATACAGAAAGAATTTCAAGTAATATTTAAGACAACCATTTATGATTCCATCTAATCAACTTTGCTACCCAAAACTATGAATATAGAGTATAGAAACGCAAGAAAGTAGGACAGAATACATTATGTTTAACATCTGATGGCAAGTCTACAACTATCAGTGCCCCACCCTTATAATTACATGCAACTATGCATCATTATCTAAATGGCTAGAAAGCACAATATCAAACTGGGATTGTGGGCAATCCACTTCTACATACTGCTTGTTGAGTACATACTATGTGTCAGAAACTGTGCTAGGAAAATAATTATTTCAAAAAGTGGTACATAAAAATTTCAAGTATTTATTTACAAAAATTAAAGTGATGCCTGGATTATCAAGACACAACAAAATATTCTCAAAGTTTACTGTTACAATCAGAAGTTTTTAAGGTACTCTAAATTAGGGTGGATGAAACAGTCAAACATGGAAAAAGATTATAGTTAAAACTGATTTTAGAAACTGGTCCATTTTTAAAAAGTTAAATATAATTTCATTATTTCATAAATGATTTCTCCTCTATTAAGATTTTTCTGTAATTACAATAATTACAATAATTATCTCTAACAATGCTTTAAATATTTGTTTTTAGAAGATGTTACTCCTTTTAACTATTATTCTTTTTTTTTTTTTTCCTTTTTTTGTCTTTTTTTTTTTTTCGTGACCGGCAACGGATCGCAACCCTCAGTGTCGCG